TTGGCATTGATTTGCATTGCTTTGCGTTGCTTGGCAATGTTTGGTGTTGATTGGCGCTGCTTGGCGTTGCTTGGCCTTGCTTGGCGGTACTTTGCATTGCTGTGCATTGCTGTGCATTGCTTTGCATTGCTTTGCATTGTTTGGTATTGCTTGGCGTTGCGTGGCGTTGCTTTGAGTTGCTTTGAGTTGCATGGGGTTGCTTTGCACTGATTGACATTATTTAGCAGTCATATACGTTGCGTCACGTTGCTTTGCATTGTTCTCCAAATAGGCTTGCCGTATGGGAGTTCTAACTCAAACCCTACTAATTGGTCCGTTGCCCCACCCCCCATAATTCCTATGCCCCCCCCCCTAATTCATATGGCTAGGCCTATGCCTATGCCTATGCCTCCCCCCTAACTCCTATGCCTACGCCTGTGCCTATGCCTATGCCTATGCACCACCTCTGAGCTTGCTTGCTTGCTTGCACGCTTGTTTGCACGCTTGCTTACTTGTTTGCGCACTTGCTTGCTTGCTTGCGCGCTTGCGTGCTTGTTTGCACGCTTGCATGCTTGCTGAGTTGCGGATTGCAAGCATGCTTGATTCCTCTGATTCTTTGATTTGAGTCGTCTGATCTATTTGGGGTCAACGCTGGCTGATATTTGGCCTTGCTTTGCCCTGTTTTGCATTGCTTGGCGTTGTCTGACATTTGTTGGCGTTGTTTGGCGTTGCGTTGCTTGACATTGGTTTGCATTGATTGGCGCTCCTTGGAACCGCTCCTTGACACTTCTTGGCATTGGTTTGCATTGTCTGGCACTGCTTGGTACTTGGCTCTGCCTGGTATTACTTGGCATTGCTTGGCACTGCTTGGCATTGCTTGGCATTGCCTGGCATTGGCTTTGCATTGCTTGGCGTTACGTGACGATGTTTGGCGTTTCTTGGCATTGGCATTGCATCGTGTTGCGTTGAATGGCATTTCTGGGAATCGCTTCTTGGCATTGCTTGGTATTGCCTGGCACTGTTTGGCGTTGCTTCGCTTAGCTTTAAACCTGCTTACCCCGAGCAGGCTCGAGCCACCCCCAGCACCACTGGGGCCCCCTCTCACAAGGGTCCCCACACCCCGAGCGACCCCGAGCAACTCCGAGGAGCGCCGGGGGCCGCCTCGGACGAAGGGCCGCGTACCCACGGGCTTCTCACACAAGCAAATGTTACCAGCGTGGACCCCAAACACTGTGTTTCCAGCAATCGGCGCGGTGCAATACATGTGGAGCTACCTATGCGGTGCAATCTACGTGGTGCAATCTATGTGGTGAAAGGTATGTTGTGCAATATGGTTGGTGCAATCTGTGTGGTGCAATATATGTGGTGCAATTCTGTTTTGTTCGCAGTGGGTTGTCAACTCCACTGCTCGCGCATGGATCCCACCCACACGCCCGCAACTTGGCTAGCCAAACCCATTCGTCGGCGCTTGCGATGACTGCTTGGCGCTGGCTGGCGAATCGCTGCGGCTAGCTAGTCTGGCGCAACCGACGCGGCCGTGGAGGCGCTGACCGCTTGGAACTGCCCAGCACGTCGCGCAGAACGCGCTGAAGCGCAGGCACTTCAGTGCGAATCGGTGACTCGGGCGGGCGCGGCATCATGGCGACATCGACAGCGGTAGACACGATGATGATCGTAGCGATGCTGGTGACGATGATGATGATGATGACGACAACAAGGCCCATGACGGCGCCGATGCCCACCACGCCGATGACGATGATGGTGTCCACGTGTCGGTGATACAAGGATTTGGAAGGATTCGACATTTGCGCGCGGCCGACGGGCGCGAGTGGCCCGCTTGTAATTGTTTGACGAGGATCGCGCGCCCCCGGCAAGCGCGCAGAGGCTGTCGAATAATTTCGACATGCGCGCGCGAGAAGACGGCTTGCTCGAATTGGATGAAAATGTTGAAATAAACCTCGTTTTCATAATGATTAAGCAAAAATGCGCAGAGATCTCCGGTAACTGGTTAACAGTATTAACAGTATTTCTAGTTCGCGCGCGCGGGGCGGCCCCTGGGGGTCCCCCGGCGAAAAGTACCCCGACCAACGCCCGACCGCCGCCCGACCGCCGCCCGACCGCCGCCCGACCGCCGCCCGACCAAGTCTACTCAGAGATGGTTTTCCTTCTGGGTGCGGCCTCTCAGGCTCCCCAGAGCGCGCTCAGAGTGCCCCAAGAGGCCCCCAAGACTGCCCAAGAGGCCCCCGAGACGCCCAAAGAGCGCTCGAAGACGCCGAAGATGACCCCAAGACGGCCCAAAAGGCCCCCAAGACAGCCCAAGAGGCCTCCAAGACGCCCCAAGAGCCTTCCAAGAGGCCTCCGAAGAGAGCCCCAAGAGGCCAAAATCGTTGATTTTCATTGTTTTTTCTATGTTTTTTGTGTTCTGGCTTTTTCGGCTTCCGGACGCTCCAAGACGGCCCAAGAGGCCCCCAAGACCGCTCCAAGACGGCCCACGAAGCTCCCAAGACGGCGCCGAAACGACCCAAGAGAGCCCTCAAGACGGCCCAAGTGCCGCCCAAGACGGACCAAGAGGCCCCAAGACGGGCCCAAGAGGGACTCAGGAGGGATACCGAGAACTCAAAAATGGAGCCCTCCGTCCCAGAAGGCGCCCAGGAGGTCCCAAAGAGGCCCCAAGAGGCCTCCAAGAGGCCCCAAGATGTCGCCAAGAGGCCCCAGGAGACTCCCAGGAGGCCCAAAAGAAGCCCCAGAAGGCTTCAAACATGTCTCCCAGGCGCCCCCGAACGGCCTCTCAACAGACCCCAAGAGGCCCCCCAAAGAAGCATCTTGACGACGACTCTATTTCGCCCCATCGAGAGACGACCCCCAGGGAACTGCTTCACCATCAAAACTCCCCACGCAACGCGTCCGAACGACACCCGCCCCCAAGAGCGCAACATGGGCAACGAACACACAGACAAAAACCAGCGATGCCATATCACGGGCCGGCGGAATGAGCGAAGCGATTCAATAAACCTCGTTTTCATAATGATTAAGCAAAAATGCGCAGATTTGGTTGAACGCTCATGTTGCAAAACCCATGCTGTTCATATGTTTTCCGAAACCTCGATTTTGACACCCGTACGAAACCTTCGGTGTTTGAAGGATGTCGGCACGCGCCCGCGACGGCACGCGCGTGTCGACTTTGTCAATTGTGTTGCAGGGGTTCGTGTACCCAGCAAGCGCGCAAGGGCGTTCGAATGCTTTCGATATGCGCGCGCGAGAGGCCCAGTTGTTCGCATCGGTTGAAATGGTGAAGAACCTGTGGTTGCCCCAAAAGATCGCAAGACCGCGCGCACAGATTTGGTTTGACAAATCATGTCCCAAACAATTGCTTTGTGTGTATATATATGTGTGTGGTCGGGAACCTCTTCTTGAAATTCTTACGCAGCCTAAGGTTGTCGAAGGATTTCGGCATACGCGCGACGACGCGCGCGCGGAGACTTTGTCTCATCTGTTGCAAACGATGTTCAAAAACTAATGATTTTTGTTAGACGAAGATGCGCGCATAGAAATATTCGACGAAGATGAGAAGCCGGCTGGTCTGGGTTGGTGAATTCATAATGAAAACGAAGAACAATGGGGCAGAATTTCAGAATCATATGTAAATTGTGCTATCACAGGGGGAACGGCGAAACCCGAGGGAGGAGGTAGACGTGCTGCAATCTATGCAAGCAGTGCGGAGCGATGCACAGCGACGCATGGCAACTCAAACCAATGCGAAGCATTGCAGAGCAATGCAAAACAACAGCCCGAGACGACGGGCGGCGACGAGGTGGCGACGAGGCGGCGACGGGGCGGCCAAGGGGGCGGCAACGGCGACGACATAGCCGCCAGACTGGCGGTCAGGCCCAGTTCCCTAGAACCAAGGGCTCCCAACTTCGCGCTTCGCGCTGCGCGAAGCGCGAAGCGCGAATAACTTCGCGCTCTCGCGCCGCTCCCCGAAAGGGAGAAGAGGAGGACGAGGAGGAGGGGGAGGAGGAAGGACGGCGAAGCGCGAAGCGCGAATAACTTCGCGCCCTCCTGGGAGCCCTTGCTAGAACGAAGAAAGAAACCGTGTGCAAGCACTGTTTGGGAGGAATAAACGCATCAGGCAAAGCCTGATTGGGACACAGTCTCTCATCAACCTGCTGAAATTCTCGGTGCTCTTCCACGTCAGCGGCTTCGAGGATCGAGGTTCACACGCTGGAGGACATAGCAAGTTCAGAGAGTCGTCAGTTGGCAAACATCAATGTGAGCACACCGGTATGCCAGAGCTAACGCGACAGCACAAACCACCAGGAATCGAGACGAGAGCACAGCTGAAAGTGCGCTCATGGTGGACGGACGGCTGAAGGAAAGGCAAATATTGAGCACCGTAAGTGGGGGCGGGCGTTTGTTACAAACAGTCTTGGACGTTGCTCGTCGGGGCTTTCGCGCAAGGCTTCCTCACACGCCGCCACCCTGCTCACGGGGGGACTCAACCGATGCCCAGGCCGAACCCTCAAAGTGGCAAAACCAATGACCCTCCCTACAGCAGGGCCGAGTCTCGATGAAGTGGGAGCTGGTCTCTGACACCGCAAGACTGTTTAATCTTGAACTGCCACCGCTTTCCAGCAGCCGAGATTCGCGGGCGAAACAGAAATCCGTATCCGCGGCCTCGCGGACCGCGCCCCTGGGCCGCGACCCCGCGGACACGGGGCATGTTTTTACGGATGTCCCGCGCGGAACGTAACCGTGCAACCGCGCATCCGCGGGATCGCGCCCCAGAATCCAGACCGCGAGGGCGCGGATACGGATAGGTTCGCCGCTCTTGAGAGATCGCACGAAATTAGCCGAGCCCAGGCAGCTGTTGAAATTCAACCCTGGAAGCCCGACCTGGCGTCGCCGACGCGTCGACGCGGCAAACCTGCGGTACACGAGGAACGCTCGGACAGGTTGCTGCCTCCAGAAGCGCACCGTCGGGTCACAACGCGACCGAGTACCCGCCGCCGCCGCCAAAGCAGTTGTTGTTCATACACGCCCAGGCAGCTCTCGCGGGATCATGGGGCTCTGGGGAGTCTCTGGGCGGCAGGCACGCCTCTCGCAGGGAAAACACGCGGAGAAGACCAGCAGGCAGCAAAGCGCGGCGCAGGGGGCGCAGAGGGGCAGGTCACCAGGCGGCAAGGCCCAGGTAGGGCTGCAGCCCCACCTCTAGAGGAACACAAAACCTGCATGAACATAGACTGTTGGATGTCTGCACGGATTTTACTCTGCGCTGGACCCCCTCCGCGGCGCGCGGAGCGCGCCAGGGGCGGCGCCGGAGGCGCCGCCAGGGGCGCGCAGCACTGATCCAAAAAATCCGCGCGAACCTCCGAAAGCTAATGTTTACGTACAGTCTGGGCCTTGACCTAAGGAACCCAAAATAAGGAACGAGGCCCCTTTTTTCCATAAGTTAAACCTCTATTTCCGATCGAAAACATAAGGAAAACCTGAGGCAAGCTGCGAAACACTTAAGGAACGCGGAGCCCCTCCCCAACGAAAAGGGTTCCTTCTTCAGGGCCCCGACTGTATGCAGTTTCTCTTCTTCGAGCCTTGTCGACACTGCCTTCGGCCCTCGGGCGGTCCACATAGAGGCGCTGATCGAAGCACCTCTCGCAGACCCACTCGCCGGTCGCGCGGTCCAGCTCGAGCTGCTGCTCAGCCGCGGAGGCCCTGCACTGCGGGCTCCCCGAGCACCTGCCGACGCGCCTCTCCCGCGAGCTGTCGGCGAGAGCGCCATCTGGTCGGGGCTGCTCACCGCGCGCCTCCGCCGTGATCGCCTCCAGCCGTTGCCCGATCTTGCGGCGGAAGGCGGAGTGGTGCTCCCAGGCAGTCTGTCCGCCATACGCCGGGTCGAAGCTCCTCATCCAGACGCCGGGATCGAACGTCATGCTGAGCACCGAGCGCGACCTGTCCGTGGAGTTCTCGCAGCCCCGGTGCTCCAGGAAGGAGTCGTACAGGATGACCGAGCCCAGGGGCGGGCACGCCTGCACCTCCACGGACGGCGCCTCGAGCACGTGCGTGCGCGGCACGAAGCCGATCGGCCCGTTCCTGGGCGTCAGTGGCGTCAGGGGAACGTTCACCGTCAGGCTGGCGCAGATCCCTGGCAAGTTCGTGTCCCGGTGGCGCAACTGGGGCATCCGGTGCCCTGGCGTGTGTATGACGTCGATGGCACCGAAGCTCGGCCGTGCACGGGCCTCGGTGGGCGCGTCCGTGTAGTACTCCGTGGTCGCGCCGCCGGCCACCCACCTCACGAAGGCCCAGGCCTGCTCCTCCTTGCCCTCGCACGCGAGCGCGTCGTTGTTGCAGATGTAGCGCGCCACGAGCTCCAGCACCAGCTCGTTGCACACCAGCCAGCTGTCGCTCCAGGGCGCCTCGAACGGCAGCGCCGTCTGCGAGCGCCCTGCGCGGAGGTCCTCTGTGCAGGTGCCGCTCATTTCCAGGAACTGCGCCTCCAGGGGCTGGACCAGGTCGGCGGGCAGGAGCTCCTCGAGCACCACGTAGCCCTGGGCGCAGAGCTTGGCGAAGGCCTCCTCGGCAATCTGGCGCCTGTCCGCACTCGCCGCGCCCCGCCAGGCCTTGCAGGCGACCACCGCGTCCCGATCTTCGGGCAGCCCGCCGTCGCCGCTGTGGGTGCAGGCGCGGGGGAAGTCCGCCGTGCCCCAGTTGTTGCCCCACCGGAAGAGGCAATCGTGCCAGTGGTGCACCTGCATGAGGTCCATGCACAGGTGGAACGACGGCGACGGAACCCGAGAGCTCCCAGCCTGCCCGTTGACCACCTGCTCGGTGACGTCGAGGAGCACGCGCTGCAGGAAGCTGGCCTCCGCGCCGCCACCGGCCACCCACCTGGGCGCCCCCCGCTCCAGCAGCAGCTCAAGGCACTCGGCCACAGGGCAGCCACGGGCAGCTTCGCGGGGGCGGGCCCTGGCAACGCTGCCCGCTACCCCCGCGTCCCCGCGCGCCCCTGCCACCCCCAGCCAGGCGCGGCCGATGGCTGCAAGGACGGACGCGCCACCTGGGTCGGGCTCACTGGATGCCCTCTCCAGCAGCAGGTGCCCCATGTCCCTCTGGGCGCTGGCGGCGCCGTGCCTTGCTGCCTGGAACAGCCAATGCATGGACAGCGCCTCCGTCTTGGGCGACTGCCGCATCATCCCCGCAAGGAACAGCTGCGACTCCACGTCGCCGCCCTGCGCCGCGGAGGTGAGGTGCTGGAGCGCCTGCGCGCCCCGATCGCCACCGCCGGGCAGCAGGCGGAAGCCAAGAGCCCGCTGTGCGGCCACGTGGCCCCCCCTGGCGGCCTCCTCGAGGTAGGCCGCGGCCTGCTGAGGCTCCCTGGCCTCGCCCTCAGAGAGCACCTCGGAGAGCTGAAACGCAGCGTCCGCGTCGCCCTGCTGGGCAGCTTCGCGCAACCAGTGCACGCCCTCCCCTTGGCGGCCTGCACCCTGGCCGCCCAGGAGCAGCTCCCCCAGCAGGCGCTGCGCACGGCTGTGCCCCTGCAAAGCCGCCGCACGCCAGCACGCCTCGGCCCCAGCGTGCCCCGCAACCGACTCAGAGGCGGCGCCGCCGCCGCCACGGCGGTCGCCAGCAATCAGCAGGCCGAGAGCGTGCTGGGCGTCCGGGTGATCTTGGGAGCTTGCCAGCTCCAGCCACCTGACCGCCTCGGCGTCGTCGCGGGCCCTGCCGAGGTCGCCCTGGCTGAAGACGCGCCCCAGCAGCGCCTGCGCGTCGGAGTCACCCGCCTCCGCCTCGCGCTCCAGCCAGGGCGCGGTCTTGGGATCCTTCCCGCGGAACCACACGACCACGGAGAACAAGCAGCCCTCGGAGACCTGGATGCCGTGGGCCGTGTCGAACCGGCAGGTCACGACGTCCCCAGCCTCCAGCGGCACGGGCAGCCGCGAATCCACGTGGGCCGCGTGCTGGATGACAGAAGGACCAAAAGAATGCATGTACATACGCCGTCGGAGGTCCGAGCGGATTCCGGGAGTCGGCGCTGAACCCCCCTCCCCCCTCCCGCGCACCCCTTCCCTGGCTTGCGGAGCTCGCCGGGAGGGGTGGTGCAACCGGGGCCCGGCGCCGACCCCAGACGACTGGGCGGGCAGCCGAAAGCCTCTGCTTTATGCCTCGCGCCGCCGCTCTGAAGCGGTTCTCGTGCGCGCTCTTCTCCCCCCCCGCCCCCCCCTCCCCCCTCCCCCCCCCCAGCGGGTGGGGGGGGCGGAAGCAGAAGCAACCCACTCCCCCCGCGCCCCCGCCGAGGTTTCGCCTCGTTGGCGCCCCGGGCCCGTCCGTGCCCGTGCCCCGCCCGGGGGCGCCGCGTGGGCGCCCGCGGGCGGCGCCCCGTGCCCCGGGTGGCTCCGCCAGAGTCTCGCGCTGGCGCCCCGTGCCCGCCCGACGGCGCCTCGTGGGGCGCCCGTGGACGCCCCGTGCCCCGGGTGGCTCCGCCGAAGTCTCGCCTCGCGGGCGCCCCGTGCCCGCCCGAGGGCGCCTCGTGGGCGCCCCGTGCCCCTTCGGGTGGTCCCGTGAGGTGTCGCGGCCTGAGCGGGCAGCACGGCACACAGAACGAGGGCAGCACGCCGCAGACGGTCCACCCGCACGAGTAAGGGTGGGCAACCTTCCCGAAGGCAGCCCTGCATCTTTCCCCTTCGGCCCTTCCTTTTGGGCACCCTCGCTGGCCGCGCCCCGCTCGCGAAGGGTCGGCATGGCCTTGCAGGGCCCTTGCATCCTTGCCCCGCACCCTTATCATACGGGCTGACTGTAGCTTACACCGCCTAGCTCGCACAACAGAAATCCCCAGGCCGACAACGCATTCCCAATGCGCGGAAACAGCGGGCCCCACTGGGTCCCAGTAGGTGTGTGAGAGAAAGAGAAACTGGTGGGTCCCATGTGTCGATATTCCGGACCAAGCTTCGTGGATCCCATTCTTTCGCTGGAATGAGGGAGGGCATCCCTTCTCTAACCACAACTCCATAACGCACGAGGAGGGCTGGAGGATGAAGGAGACGACGCGGAGGAAGAAGGCTAACAAGAGGAGAACGAGGTTCAGGAACCGGACGAGGCAGAGGGTACGCACGAAGACGAAGACGAAGACGAAGAAGGCGAAGACGAAGAGGAAGACGACAACACAAAAGTCCAGAGAGGAGAGGAGCCGGACACGAAAGACATGGAACACGGCAACAGAGTCGAGAGAGCAGAGGAGCAGGACCCGAAAGACGGGGAAAAGGAGGCACATGACGATAGCGAAGAGGCAGGAAGCTGGAGGACGAGCGTGTGGTCAGTGCCGCCCGCTCGAGCGTGGCAGCTGGCCCTGCCCACCTCCGCAGCTCCTTCCATAACGCAGATGGCAGATCGAACGCCACAGGGGGCCCGGCCCACTGCCGCAGCTCCTCCAATACAGTATGGCTGTTCGAGCGCCGCAGCGACCCCGTCAACTCGAAACTTAACGGCTCCCGGTCGGCATCTGGGGACCAAGAGGAAAATCGATCGGCGTTCGAAAAGAGTTCAGACCCGACAGGTTGCACTGAATAGTTTACACCACATAGCTCAAGTCACATAGCTTGCACAACAAAGCCTACACCAAACAGCTCACACCACATATATATACACGCCGACCCCCGCTTGCCGGGGGTGAGAAGGCGTGTGGGATGATTGGCTGTCCCCCTCCCCCCTTTCCCCTCCCCCAGGGGCCACAGTATCGTTTGAAAGGGGGTGGGGTGGGAGGAGGGGTTGTCTGGATTCCCTGGCGCACTCCAAGAAACTCCGGAACTTCCAAACTGGCCTTCCGTGGCCTCAGACATGTTCCAAGACGGTCCCGAATCGCCGAACGATTGGTCCAAGACGCCTACAATGGCTCCAAGAGGCCCAAAGACGCCTTCGAGACGCCCGAAGAAAGGCCCAAGAGCATTCCCAAGAGGGCCCCGAAAGGCAAAAAAACATTTTCTCCCTGAGATTTTTCATTGTTTCTGCTGTTATCGTCTTCTCGAGCTTCCGACGCTCCAAGACGGCCCAAGAGGCCCCGCAGACCGCCCCAAAACTGCCCAAGAGGCCCCTGCGAGGGCCCGAGGACGGCCCAAAGAAGAGCCCAAGACGGCCAAAGATCGCCCCAAAAAGCCCCCGAGAGAGGCCAAGAGGGAGGACACGAATCGATAATCCTATCTTTCCGCCTGGAGAGACCCTCCAAAGGCCCCGAGAAGCCCCTGAGCGGCCCAAAAGAGGCACCCAACTCGCCGGCCCCACGGGCCAGGGGCGTGCTAAGATCTCCGGCTACACGTTTGTGATTTCCCGTTCGCGCGCGCGTGGCGGCCCCTAGGGAATCCCGGAACGGAAAGTATACCCCAGCCGATTTGGACGCCCGAAATGGGTACGGAAAGAATGGAATGCCCAACAACAAGTGTTGTCCCAAACCAACAGAGGCCGCTGTTGGGCAGGCGGCCTCCTGTCTCAAATCTGTCTCAAATGGACACAGGCCGCGGCGGCGCGGACAGCGAGTCCTGTTCAAAATGAACAGGAACTTCTGTTGAGCATTGTACCCATTCTTTCCGTGCCCATTTCGTTCGTGCAAAGCCGAACCCCAGGAGACGCCCGGCAAACTTCTGGCAAGGTTCCCGCAAGGTCCCCCCGAGCGCCCCAGACGCCCCCTGGACGGTCCCAGAGGCCCCGAGTCGCCGGAAGGTCGTTCCAAGACGCCCAAGGCGGCTTCCAGACAGCCAAGGCCGCCAAGAAGCCCCGAGCCGAGAGAGCCTCAAGAGGCCCTCCGAGAGGGCCCCAAGAAGCACAACTCGTGGCAGTCCCGTGGGAGAACGCACATCACTCACGCGAACGACTTTGAAGTTCACAACTTTCAGAACTGCCCTGGAGGCCCTCGAAATCGCCCTAACACGGCCAATGCCCCCAAGATGAGCCCAAGACGGCCCCGAGCGCTGAAAGACACCCCAAAAGGCCCCTCAAGACGGTTCCAGAGGCTCCCAGAAGACCCCCAGAGCAATACTCCGAGCTACCATGTCCGGCCCTCTCCCGCGAGATCCCTCACGAGACCGCCAGCAGGGCCCCAAGAAGCTCCCAGAAGCCCAAAGATACTGGCCCAAGAAGCCCCCAAGAAGCTCCCAAGAGGCCTCTCAAGAAACCCCACGACGTCCCCAAGAGACCCGGTTTGTCGACGATCCAGTTTCGTCTGAAGAGTTCCTCCAAAAAACATCGACGGGCCTCCTCCTTCTCCTCATCGTCCGCTTATGCGACACTATGGGTGGAGGAACGAGCGAAGCGATCAAATAAACCCAAGAGGCCCCCAAGAGGCCCCCAAAAGGCCAAAAAGAGGCCCCCCCAAACGGCCCCCTACACGCTTCAAACATTGCCTCCAAGAGGCTCCACCAGACCCACGAGTAGCTTCCAAGACGCCCACAAGAGTCCCCAAATAGTGCCCAAGAAGCCCACGACGCCTCAAGCGTGGATTCCCCGCCTCTTTCGGGGGTCGACGGAACGACGCAAGCCCCCTGAACAGAGATATGCTCTCGAGTGGCTGCCAGAAACCTCAAGCACCTTCCAAAAAATGGCCATCAATAGTCTCCAAAGCCACCTCCAACAAGGGAGTGCTTCCTCATGCAGGTCCTCGTCCTGCTCCTCACTCCCCCTCTTTTTACGACCTCACTACGCTATAGTATCCTCTTTAGCACGGACCCGAAGAAGCCCAGAAGGGTTTCAAGACGGCGCCCAAGGAGCCCAACAAAAGCCTAGCGGGGCTTCCAAGACGGCCCCACGGAACGGCAAGAATGGCCCAAGATGGCCCCAGGACGGCCCCTGCTCTGCCACGGGCTTGCATCCGTCCTCTCATCCCTGTGTTCATCCCTCTCCTGCCCATTCCCGTTCCTCCTCCCACTTGACCCCACCGCATTGCACTCTCGTTTTTGGAAGGCGATGGGAAATTCGGGGACGACGGAGGGAGGGCTAGACGGGCCAAATGCCTGAGGCGCGGGCAATGCCGTCACTTTTTCCCCAGGCCTTGACCTCCACCCCCCTGTTGGTCATCCGCGTCGACCCCTCATGGCGACCCCCGCCCATCCCCTACGCCCGTCTCCCCCGCTCCCCGACCCGTGGCCGCGGGCCCCATTCGCATTTATGGGAATGGCCCGTCAGGGTCGCGACTTCGACCCCCCCGCGGTCATCGGACAAGTCCCCCTTGCTGCCCAGGGCTTCATCTTCGTTGTGACCCCCACCCCGCACAAGGCTTTATCAGGACATTACAAGGACCACTTACAAAATTCAATTCCGTCGAACAACGATTTGGGATGACAAGCCAGACAGGACATTGCCCCACCGATGTTTCAGCAACCTGTGGATAGCTCAGCAGACGTGACATTGACCCTTGGCCCCCCTCGCGGTCATCACGTTTACCCCGCATTCTTCACCTGTAGACCGTCACTACCATGACGAACGCCCCACTCACGGTCACCACCCGCCCCCGCTCATGATCATCGCCGTGACCCACCCCATCCCCGTATAGCTGACATCCCCTTCCCGGTCACGATTCGAGCCCTATACGTGTCGTGGCGTGACCCCCTTTTCGGATCATCTGGACACCCTTCGCTGTCATTTCTTCGGTTTTGTTCCCGGCCATCGGCTTCGAGGACAGTGCCCAAGTCCCACTTTGCCATGACCTCCACCCCGCTGGCGGTCATGGCGTACACAATCTCGACGTCAGAACCGTCACCCCTATTGGGGTCAGGGCTTACCGTGGTATCGAGGTCATGACCTGCGCCCCCGTCGCGACCATGCCCTTCCCCGGTGGCGCGAGCATGCCTATAGGCTCCATCCGGCCCAGAACCCGTATCCACCGCCTGGTCACCACCTTTTCCGAGGGACCAAGATTCGAGGCGAACCGAAGTGAGCTAAGTCGTGCATGCATATACGCATATCTTTACATAAACTAGATGTCAAACAAAAACGCATAATTTACTGACAATAGATCTAACACCACTAATCTACCCGGCAGACGTCCAAACTCCACGACGATTGGGAGTCACGCTGGCCAACATTCCTAGAGTCTAACAACCCCAGCCTGTCGCGTGGTGAACAAAATCCACGAGTCCGAGCAACGCCCAGGTTGGAGGAGGCCGAAGAGTCTGAACTGGATGGTGGATG